TTTTCAAACCCCCCCCCCCCCCCCAAATTTCACACCCGAGTCTGCCTTCTGGTCTGGGTTAGAAAAATACCTTCAAACCTACTGCTTGCATAAGAGGACAGACACCGCTTGAAGCCCCTGACACCTCCAGATCCTTATTGATGGTTTTCCCTGGCCTCTCAGGCTCCCAAAGCTCCAGCAAAAAGCCTGGAAATCTGGAAAACCACGTCCCTGGCCCAGGCCCCAGTCAAGAGGGCTCTGAAGGGCAGGATCCCAGGGGGTCTGGGGGCCTGGGAACCACCAGTGCAGCCAGCAGGAACCCAAGAAGGTCTCATAGCATCACCCTCAGATATCTGAGGACACTCAGCCAAAGGGCTGCATTTCTCTGATGAAAACTTCTTGATGATAAACCACAAGCCCACCCCACCAGGTGCTGGAATTAAAACCCTCTAGAGAGAGAAAGGGTCAAATCAGTGGTTTTTTTGGAAGGAGAATGGAGCATCCCAAGGCAGATGCTTTAAATGGATCTTCCCTCCATGTTTTGGTTTGGTTTGATTTTCCAGCAGAAATCCTGAAAAAAAAGGGGGTTTTATCTCACACCAGAGTGGGAGAGGCTGCATGTCCCTCGTGGAGCTCCTCAACATCACTTCCAAGCCCAGAATTACTTTCCCTGGAAACACAATCATCTCAGCTTCCTCCAGTTTTGGTAAAAGCCATGATTCCCTCCCTACTTCAGATGCTTTGCGTGTCAGTGTTGGGGCGGGGAGAAAAAAACCTCTGTCCCCTAAGCAACAGCTATAGCAGGAGCCCTAACAGCCAGGAGCTGCTGTGGCCACCCTGGCACCACCAGGGCTCACACCAAGCAGGGTTAGACCAACACCACCTCCCCAACACCCGCAGCCTGCACCAAGTATCAGAAAAAGTGGCTGAACGCCCCTCCTCCCGCTGGGGCACACAGAACAATTTTGATGTGCTGTTCCCACCTGTCAAGTGTTGGTTGTGTGGTTTTTTTTAATTATTATTATTATTAATAGGTTTGTTATTTTTAAAAAAAATCCCCATATGTGAGAGCTGAGTTCAGCAAATTACCGCAGCTGAGCGTCAGCACAGAGAGACAGGAGAGCAATATCATGCTCAGTGGAATATTTAACAAGCGCTGATTGCCTGGAAACCTGACTTGGTGAAACCTGCAGGAAAGAAACAGACTTGTAAAAAAGCCAGCGAAATAAATAAATAACCTGCTGAGAGCAGGAGAAGGGGAGGCAGCGGGCAAGCTGAATATTCAAAGCCTGCCTCCGCCCCGTCTCCCCCGTAGATCCGCCTGCCAGAAGTGCAATGCAGGGCTGAACTCTACAGGGAGGGGGTCCAAAGGGGTTGATTCCACTTCTGCTGATACCAGCAGGAATAACTCCACCAAAACCCAGCTGCACTGGGCTGTGGACTCAGGCCTGGGCTCATACTGGCACTCAGGGACTTGGAGGAATCCTCCCCCAGGGCACTTCTCATGGAGGAAAACCCAACAGGGACTGTTTCCGAGGTGCTGGGCTGGGGAGATGTGCAGCCTCACCTCAACTCAGCTGTGGGATCTTACCATTCCCCGGCCAAGCCGTTGGCTGCCAACTCTTGTGCCTTGACTTGCCACCGTGTAAATCAGGGAAGATGTCCCCTGAATGCCAACGATGGGCATCTGTGGAATGCAGAGGGCTGACCAGAGCAAGAGCGAAGAAGTCAGCACGCAGGCTGAGGGAGGGACCTCTCCAAGGCTTGCCCCAGCTCCATGAACCATCATCCTTCCATTGGGTTAATGACAGATATCACCATGGGTGACACAGCATTACCCAGCACCATCACAGCCCTCTGCCACCACTTAGTATCATAGAATAGAATCATAGAATGGTTTCGGGGTGGAAGGGACCTTAAAGATCATCTCATTCCACCCCCCTGCCATGGGCAGGGCCACCTCCCACCAGCCCAGGTTGCTCAAAGCCCCATCCAGCCTGGCCTTGAGCCCCTCCAGGGATGGGGCAGCCACAGCTTCCCTGGGCAACCTGTTCCAGTGTCTCACCACCCTCACAGGAAAGAATTTCTTCCCAATATCTAATCTAATCTTCCTCTCTTTCAGTTTAAAACTGTTACCCCTCATCCTGTAGCTCCACTACCTGATCAAGAGTCCCTCCCCATTTCTCCTGTAGCCCCCTTTAGGGACTGGAAGGGGCTATAAGGTCTCCCCAGAGCCTTCTTTTCTCCTGGCTGAACAACCCCAGCTCTCTCAGCCTGTCATCATAGCAGAGGTGCTCCAGCCCTCTGATCATCTTTGTGGCCTCCTCTGGACCCGTTCCAGCAGGTCTGTGCCTTTCCTGTGCTGAGGACTCCAGAGCTGGACACAGTACTCCAGGTAGGGTCTCACCAGAGTGGAGTAGAGGGGCAAAATCACCTCCCTCGACCTCCTGGCTTCCCTTGTGGGACTCACCCACAGTGCGACACTATCCCAAACCCCAGGTGAACAAAGCCTTGGTGAGGGTCCTTCAAAGCCTGGGTCCACCACGGCTCCAAGGGACCTGGTGTCCACTGATTTCAGCAGGCTTTGAGCTCGTTATCACTCTTGCAAATCCATGCACAGGCAGCTGCAAGCCCGAAACTTGTGGCCGAGCTGAGGGCCACCTGACACAGGCACAAAGAGATGGGCAGCAAAGGCTGCAACACCGTGACCACAGCCATGCTTCCTCCTGCAGCACAACGGCTCTTCAGCAAAGCCAAATTCCTGTCTCCAAAGGGTTTTCTACCGGGGCTCTATCAATCACACGATAACGCACTCATGATAAACACCCCCTCCTGCAGCCCTCCTCGGGGAGGACAGAAAACAGGTACCCAATAGGGCACATTTTCAATGTTACAGGGATTTTTTTAATTTTTTTTTTTCAGTTAGACTATGAAAGCACTTTTAAAAATTCAAAGACAACTTTTCCATTACTTGTGCCTTTGCTCGGCTTTGATATTTTTTTCCTTATACTTTCTTTTCTTTCTTTCTGTGTGTGTGTGCACGGCTTTTTTTCCTTTCATATGGATAAAATCAGAAGACAATTAATATTATAGGGCTTTGAAGTCCCCCTGTTATTTATAGAATTTTTTTCCCTGAAATCAAAAATAGGTAGATATACTGCAGTGATGGGCATATTTTAACAAATCAAAACAGCTTTTAAGTTCTGTTGAGTGAGAGATCACAACACTTTCACCCTTAAATCGCCAAAAGACCTGTTACCATCAAAATGAAAACTCATGCCTCTAGTCCAGAAAGTGCTCACGCTTATTCAGCTCCCTGAGACCAGATTCACTGCTGAATTATCTTGAAAAATTAATGCTGAAATTTTCAATGGATTTAGCAGACATTATGCAGATGTAACCACGGAGGATTTCACCTTAAATTTTCCATGGCACAGTCCTTCTTTCATCTTCCTCAACAGTTTGTCAGGATCCTTTTCTACCTACCCAGAGGGAAGCACTGGATTCAGCAATTTCACCTCCAAATAAACACCAGTGCAAAAGTCAGCCCGACACACAAGACATGGAAAATGTTTGCAGGGAAGAGTTCAGATCTTCTGACCAAAGGTTGGCATGGTTTTTGGTCATCACCCAGAACACCGGTTGCTTTAGAGAGGTGACTGTGGACATCGATCCTCGGGAACTCATGAACCCATTAATTCTCTCCACGGCAACCTACTGGGACTTGTTAGGAGGGGTAGGGGAAAAAAAAAAAA